TCTGTGCTGATCACACTGGCCCCACCCCCTGCTCTGTGATGGTCACACTGGGCCCCACCCCCTCCTCTGTGATGGACACACTGGGCCCCATCCCCTCCTCTGTGATGGTCACACTGGGCCCCACCCCCTCCTCTGTGATGGTCACACTGGGCCCCACCCCCTCCTCTGTGATGGTCACACTGGGCCCCACCCCCTCCTCTGTGATGGTCACACTGGGCCCCACCCTCTCCTCTGTGATGGACACACTGGCCCCACCCCCTCCTCTGTGATGGACACACTGGCCCCACCCCCTCCTCTGTGATGGACACACTGGCCCCACCCCCTCCTCTGTGATGGACACACTGGCCCCACTCCTTCTCTGTCCTGATCACACTGGCCCCACCCCTTCTCTGTGCTGATCACACTGGCCCCACCCACTCCTCTGTGCAAGTTGCTCCTGGGTCTGGGGCTCGCAGGGCCTAGGGGCTCACAGTCCCACTGGCGACATGGAATAAACAGGTAGCGCTTCACCATGAGCCAATGCTCCCAGGGGATCCCTGGGATCCCCAGCACCCAGAGGAGGCCTTCGAGGAGGGCTCTGTGTGTGGCTTCTATTCAGAGCCAGACAATTGAGGCAGCAGATAAAGGGGGCTGCTGTGTGGTCTCCACTGGCTCCTCTCTGTGAGGTGGGCAGTGGCCAGGCCCAGCCGGGGGCCCAGTGGAGGCTGGAGCTGGGTGTGACCTGGATGGGAGAAGACGGCTTTGGGGCGGGGCTCTCAGCTGGAAGGAAGGAAGGACAACCCTCAGGTGGGAACCTGAGGTGTGGGCTGGAGAGTGGGACTGTGGGCTGGGGGCCCAGCCCCTCACTGATTCCCAGGGTGTCTGAGCTGTCTCCGTCATGCCGGCCCCACCCAGCTTCCCTATCTATGGCCCCACCATCAAAGTCACAGGTCCCCAAGGGCTGCAAGGGCCCTGCGTGTATGCTAAGGTGCTTCATTGTGTCTGCCTCTATGGAGCATAGCCCGCCAGGCTCCTCTGTCCATGGTATTCTCCCGGCAAGAATACTGGGGTGGGGTGCCCTCCTCCAGGGGACCTTCCCCACCCAAGGATCAACGCTGTATCTCTTATGTCTCCTGCACTGGCAGGCGTGTTCTTTACCACTAGCACCCTCCCCCCACCCCACCCAGGGTCCTGCTCTTCTCTAATGCAAACTCGACCTCCTAGACCTCAGGCTTCTCCCACCTTCACACGGGGCCAACAATAATCCTACCTCAGCAGGCCACTGGGAGAACTTAATACAATGAAACAAGGGTAATAACTTCAGGTAATAACTGCTCCCCGCCTCGCTGAAGCTCAGCCTGACCCCCTTGCGCCCTCCACCCACCCACAGCCCACTCACAAGCCTTCTGCAGGTAGAAGGCGTCCGCCCACTGGTGCCAGGCCAGCCCACGCCCCCTTGGGAGATGCAAGTTGCGTCCATGCCCTCTCAGGTCCCCCCAACAAGCCACACAGAGTAGACACAGTAGGGGGCCTGACACGTCGTAGGGGCCTTAAACCTGTGGCAGGAAGGAGCAACACCCTGTTTCTGTCTGCAAAGCCTCTAGGTCACGCGAGTTAACACTCGGAAGGGAGCTCATTTCTGTCCCTCCCTGGAACAACACCTGCACCAACTTGGAGTTCCCAGATAGACTGGGATTTGATTGGTGTGTGCATAGCTTTTCTTTTAAAAAAAATAGTTTATGATTACAAAGGTAATAGATGTTCTTTTTTTTAAAAAAAAATTTCTTATCTGGCTGCCGCAAGTCTTAGGATCATGGAAGATCCTTAGTTGCAGCATGTGGGATCTAGTTCCCTGGCCAGAGATTGAGCTTGTGCCCGCTGCACTGGTAGTGAGGAGGCTAAGCTGCTGGACCCACCAGGGAACTCCTGGTAATAGATACTCCTTATTAAAATTTAAACAAGACCTTAAAGAAATGAGAGTCATCTGTGGTCTCCTACTGGCTGTCGTCCAGTGTATGCGTGCACATTAAATACAATGTTTGCACACAGTTTCGGAGAAGGTGATAGCACCCCACTCCAGTCCTCTTGCCTGGAAAATCCCATGGACGGAGGAGCCTGGTAGGCTGCAATCCATGGGTTTGCACAGAGTCGGACACAACTGAGCGACTTCACTTTCAATTTTCACTTTCATGCACTGGAGAAGGAAATGGCAACCCACTCCAGAGTTCTTGCCTGGAAAATCCCAGGGATGGGGGAGCCTGGTGGGCTGCCATCTGTGGGGTCACACAGAGTCGGACACGACTGAAGCGACTTAGCAGCAGCAGCAGCAGCAGCACACAATTTTGTATTCTGTGATTTTTGATTTAAAATGTCTTAGTGTTCCTCCACATAATTAAATATCAAAAGTGTAACTTTTAAGGGCTGCATAATATTCCTATTATTTTTCCATATATATTTTCCAATATATTCTATAATATTCCTATTGATCATAAGGATCAACAGGAATCTCTTTATCTGCTCCCTGTTATTTCCGACGTTTTATTTCTAAATAAAGTTGTGCAAACTCCATGAAACACAAGTTCCACTTCATCTCTCTTACTGACTTGAAGGGTTCCTAAACGTGGGTCCTGGCTCAGAGAGTGTGGGCATTTTTAAGGCTCTTTGAGGCATTTTGGCAATTTCACAATTTTTGCTCCACCAGCCAGGTAAGAGCCCCGTCTACTCCAATTCTCCAAGCGTTGGTCCTTTTAACCTTTGTTGATCCAATGGGGAAAATAGCATCTAATCGTTATTTTAATCTGAGTACCCCTGATAATTGGGCTTCCCTGTGGCTCAGTGGTAAAGAATCCACCTGCCCAGAAGACTAGAATTCAATCCCTGTGTCAGGAAGATCCCCTGGAGGAGGAAATGGCAACCCACTCCGGTATTCTTGCCTGGAGAATCCCATGGACAGAGGAGCCTGGCGGGCCACAGTCCATGGGGCTGCAAAAGAGCTGGACACAACTGAGTGACTAACATAACAGCCACCTCTGATAATGAGTGAATGCCAGCCTCCTTCCCCGTGTACCGAGTCTGCAGACAGGCAGGTGCGTCCAGGGGTGGGCGGCGGGGCTGGTATTTGGTGGGAGTTTGGCGGGGGGGGGGGGGGGGGGGGGGGGCTGCCTCATCTCCCTCGGAGGCCAGAGGGCTCGGGACCCTGCTCCTCTGAGCTTTTACTGCTCAGGATTCACCCATCAAACACACTCCTGGAGCCCCAGCACGCAAGTGGAGGCAGGCAGAGGGTCTCATGGTGTTTCTGCAGGGCAGGGGCCTCGCCGTGTGACTCCCGTGCTCTGTGGAGCAGGCGTGAAAACCACCCACCGGGTCTGCACCCTCAGGCCACAGACTGGGGAACGGGAGGCTGGCGGGGGGGACAGGCTTCGGCACCCCACAGAAGGTCAGGGCAGGTCCGGCTTTAGAAACGGGGAGCCGGCCTCAGCCCAGAGCCATGAAGAGCATCTTTGTCCTGAGACTGGGTCCCCTTGATGGCGAGCTCGTGTCCTGAGCTGCCGCGTGTTTGGTGTCAGCACGTCCCGAAAGCGCTGTCGCAGTGGGGGGGTGGGCGCCTCGGGCTGCAGGGGGCCTCCTCCCCACCCAAGACATCCCAGCACAGCTGGGAGGGGCCTAAAGGACCCCTTTGATAAGCTCTTAAGACTGAAGAACAAGAGGGGACACGGGGACCAGGCTGTCCTGGCTGATGTCAGCTCCCGAGCTTGTCTCAGAAAGGCAGGCCTGTGTGCCACACGGTCCCCGGGTGAGGTCATCCCACAGCCCATCTGGGGGCCACTGTGCAGCCTGCTCGGGCTGCCTCCAGGGTCACGAGACAGAAAAGACGCTGTGACCGCGGTGGGGGGCAGGGGAGGGGTCTCAGCATCCAACCATCCTGCTGGACCCCTCGGGGAAAGCCTTCAACCTGCGAACCCAGGTCCAGCGAGAATCCTGCTGTGCTGCCTTGGTGGGGGGCGCAGGGACTCCCCAGCCCTTGATAGATGCCCAAGCTCCTCAGCCCCCACCTCTGACTTGGCCTCTAGGCCCCTGCCTGCCTTCAGCAAGGGGTCCCCCTCTGGCTCTCCTCTTGATAATTTTCCATCCACCCATTTCCCCGACCCCCAGCGCCTTGGCTATAAATCCCCTGCACCGTCCTTGGAGAATTCGGCCGGATCCCTCTCCCCTACTGCCATGACCTGTATACCATCTTCCTACCGTTTTGACAAGCATGTGAACCATCTTTCTTTATCAAGGTCAGGAATGAATAAGCCACAGGTGGTGGTGTTGGGGGAGAGGGTCGTCAAAATGATAAAACTAGGTGCAGTTCAAAGGAGACCTGCCCGCACCCCGGGCAATAAACACGTGAAGAAACAGCTGGGAGCTGGGTGCTCCGGTCTGAGTGTTGATATAATTTTTTTTTAAAACAAGCAGCTGTGAGCTATGAAGAAGGCCCCCTGTAGAAGGAGGGAGGGAACGCCTGGCCGTGACCTGCTGTTTCTCCCGGTCTGGGGCCACAGGACACCTTTTTCTACGGTTACTGTGATTTGAAGGGTGAATGGCTCCAGGATTCCCCACAGAATGCATGAGAAGGTTGGCCAGGCCTTTCTCTAAAGCTCTCTTTACCGATGCTTTGGTGACTCCCCTGACCGGGAAAGAAGCCTCAGGAGCCGCCCGTGGCCTCCACACCCCGTCATCAGCCTGCAGGGTTAGAGGGAGGGGTTGGGGGAGCCCTGAGACTTGCCTGCCCTCCGCCCCGGGCTAAGGGCCTTTCAGGACAGGCTTTCAAGTGACCACAGGCCGCATGCAACTGGGACCCACATGTCCACTAGTCCTGGGTCCTGCTCTTGAATAGGGTCCCTGTGGGGAGAGCCAGCCGTCCCTGACACCCGAAAGCTCACTGACCCGCCAGCGCACCCGCAATAGGGCGTGGATCCCCGAGCACCCGTCTGGTGCCCCCGGGTCCTGGGTCCCGGGCGGCACGCTCCTCTTCTTACCTTGCAGGTACATCTCCTCGCCTTCTGCGAACATCCGGCCGCACCGGACACATAGCGCGCACAGAGGGTGGTAGTGCTTCTCCCCCGCCTGGAAGAAGCAGAAAGCAGAGGTGTGTCTGCCGGGGACGGGGACTTGGATCTGCCGCATCAGCTGGGGCCACAGCCAGCCCTCACCACCGATGCAGGCGCGCAGGCCGGCCATGCAGCGGAGAGTCCACACCGTGCGGAGGGGTCGGGGCCCGTGACGCTCCAGGCCGTCCAGGGTGTGTGTGTGCGGACGTGCCCCTGCCCACTTCTCCCGTCTCCACCACCCCCAGGAGGCAGAGGGGGCCAGGTCCCCGCACCTGTGAATCTCAGGACACCGAGCTAACATTACTTCCCCAGGGGAGGGATAGGACAGGGGGCTGAAAACGACATGTCATTTTCATATCTCTGTATTGCTCGCTTTTCTCCATGAGTGTTTTACTGTTTTTACTGTTCTTAAAATTCATCCAACTCAATTAAAATAGCAAAATAATCAAAACAAAGGACACTGGCTGGTTTGACTTATTTCTACATGAAAGTGAAAGTCGCTCAGTCGCGTCTGACTCCTTGCAACCCCATGGACTATACAGTCCATGGGATTCTCCAGGCCAGAATACTGGAGTGGGTAGCCTTCCCTTCTCCAGGGGATCTTCCCAACCCAGGAGTCGAACACAGGTCTCTCGCATTGCAGGCGGATTCTTTACTAGCTGAGCCACACCTGGGTTTATTTCTACAAGGTACCAAAAAAATCACCCCAAACTACTGTCTTCAGCCTGATGGAAAGTTGAAAGATAAACTACAGATGGGAGAATATAGCTGCAAATCATAGATCTGATAGGGGCTGAGGATCCAAAATATATCAAGAATTCTTACAGTTCAACAACAAAAAGACAAAGGGCTCAGTTAAAAAACGGGCAAACGACGTGAAGTGACATTTTCTTCCAAAGAAGATACAGCCACAGCCAAGAAGCAAATCAAAGATGCTTACTACGACTGTCATTAAGGAAATGCAAGTCCAAATGCCAATAAGATACAGCCCCACACCCACCAGGGAAAGTGGAGACGCGAGTTGCTCAGCTGTGTCCGACTCTGAGACCCCAGCCCCACGCCCACCAGGGAAAGTGGAGACGCGAGTCGCTCAGCTGTGTCCGACTCTGAGACCCCAGCCCCACGCCCACCAGGGAAAGTGGAGACGCGAGTCGCTCAGCTGTGTCCGACTCTGAGACCCCAGCCCCACGCCCACCAGGGAAAGTGGAGACGCGAGTCGCTCAGCTGTGTCCGACTCTGAGACCCCAGCCCCACGCCCACCAGGGAAAGTGGAGACGCGAGTCGCTCAGCTGTGTCCGACTCTGAGACCCCATGCCTCACGCCCACCAGTGAAAGTGAAGATGTGAGTTGCTCAGTTGTGTCCGACTCTGAGACCCCATGCCTCACGCCCACCAGTGAAAGTGAAAGCGTGAGTTGCTCAGTTGTGTCCGACTCTGAGACCCCATGGACGGTAGCCCGCCAGGCTCCGCCATCTCTGGGATTCTCCAGGCAAGAACACTGCAGTGGGTAGCCGTTCCCTTCTCCAGGGGATCTTCCCTACCCAGGGATCAACCAAGCCTCCCACATTGCAGGCAGATTCTCTACCACTGGGGCCACCAGGTCTAATTTAAAAAAAAAGGAAAATAACCAGTGCTGACGAGGCTGTGGAGAAACTGGAACCACTGTACATTGATGGTGGGAACATGAGATGGTGCAGCCGCTGGGAAAACAGTGTCACTGACGCCAAAGGGTAAACATAAAGCTACCATATAACCCACGTGAAGAGACACCCCATGTCCAAGGTGAGAGAAGCCCCAGTAAGACGGTAGGCGCTGAGAGAGGGCATCAGAGGCAGACAGCCTGAAACCACAATCGCAAAAAACTAATCAGTCTAATCACATGGACCACAGCTGTGTCTAACTCAGTGAAACTAAGCCATGCCATGTAGGGCCACCCAAGACGGACGGGTCATGGTGCAGAGTTCTGATGTGATCCACTGCAGAAGGGAACGGCAAACCACCTCACTGTTCTTGCCTTGAGAACCCCATGAACAGTACAAAAAGGCAAAAAGATAGGACACCAAAAGATGAACTCCCCAGGTCAGTAGGTGCTCAATATGGAGATCAGTGGAGAAATAACTCCAGAAAGAATGAAGAGACGGAGCCAAAGCAAAAACAGTACCCAGCTGTGGATGTGACTGGTGATAGAAGCAAGGTCCGATGCTGTAAAGAGCAATATTGCATAGGAACCTGGAATGTTAGGTCCATGAATCAAGGCAAATTGGAAGTGGTCAAACAGGAGATTGCAAGAGTGAATGTTGACATTCTAGGAATCAGTGAACTAAAATGGACTGGAATGGGTGAATTTAACTCAGATGACCATTATATCTACTACTGTGGGCAGGAACCCCTTAGAAGAAATGGAGTAGCCATCATGGTCAACAAAAGAGTCTGAAATGCAGTACTTGGACGCAACCTCAAAAACGACAGAATGATCTCTGTTCGTTTCCAAGGCAAGCCATTCAATATCACGGTAATCCAAGCCTATGCTCCAACCAGTAATGCTGAAGAAGCTGAAGTTGAACAGTTCTATGAAGACCTACAAGACCTTTTAGAACTAACATCCAAAAAAGGTCATTCTCATTGTAGGGGACTGGAATGCAGAAGTAGGAAGTCAAGAAACACCTGGAGTAACAGGCAAATTTGGCCTTGGAGTACAGAAAGAAGCAGGGCAAAGGCTAATAGAGTTTTGCCAAGAGAACACACTGGTCATAGCAAACACCCTCTTCCAACAACACAAGAGAAGACTCTACACATGGACATCACCAGATGGTCGACACTGAAATCAGACTGATTATATTCTTTGCAGCCAAAGGTGGAGAAGCTTTACAGAGTCAGCAAAAACAAGACCGGGAGCTGACTGTGGCTCAGATCAAGAACTCCTTGTTGCCAAATTCAGACTTAAATTGAAGAAAGTAGTGAAAACCACTAGACCATTCAGATATGACCTAAAGTCAAATCCCTAACGATTATACAGTGGAAGTGAGAAATAGATTTAAGGGACTAGATCTGATAGACAGAGAGCCTGATGAACTATAGACAGAGGTTCGTGGCACTGTACAGGAGACAGGGATCAAGACCATCCCCAAGAAAAAGAAATACAAAAAAGCAAAATGGCTGTCTGAGGAGGCCTTACAAATAGCTGTGGAAAGAAGAGAAGTGAAAAGCAAAGGAGAAAAGGAAAATTATACCCATTTGAATGCAGAGTTCCAAAGAATAGCAAGGAGAGATAAGAAAGCCTTCCTCAGTGATCAGTGCAAAGAAATAGAGGAAAACAATCGAATGGGAAGGACTAGAGATCTCTTCAAGAAAATTAGAGACACCAAGGGAGTATTTCATGCAAAGATAGGTTCAATAAAGGACAGAAATGGTAGGGACCTAACAGAAGCAGAAGATATTAAGAAGAGGTGGCAAGAATACACAGAAGAACTATAGAAAAAAGATCTTCATGGCCCAGATATTTAGCAATTCTACTCCTTCGTATGTAAGAAAAATGAAGAGAACAAGAGAAACAAAAGTATATGCCCACCCAAAAACCTGCACATAAATCTGCATAGAAGCATTATTGCCAACAGCCAGAAGGTAGAACCAGCTCACATGTTCATCAATGGGTGAGTGTGATAAACTCGATGGAAGACTATTCATAGATCTATCCATAAAAGGCAATGAAGTCTTGACACTTGGGGCCCCTGTGGTGTTTTATAAGGACATTAGTGTCTTTATAACATGAGACATCAGCATTTTCTGCCATGGGGGAACATAGGGAGAAGGTGACCATCTCCAAGCCAGGAACCCAAAGGGCTGGCACCTTGGTCTCGGAATTCCAGCCTCCAGAAATGTGAGAAATAACTGTCTATTGTCTGAGCTTCACAGTTCACAGCCTAGCAGCCCAGGCCGACTAAGACAGGCTCACAAGGTCACACAGATGTGTCTTCACCCCTTCCATCAGCCCCCTTCGCTGCTCCGGTACTATTGGTGTGGCCACGCTGGCCGGGGCATTCCCCGTCATCAGAACATGACTGCACCCCCTGCTCCATTGTCCCCCCCAATGCTGCCCAAGAAGGGCCTCAGGCGTCAGCCCCCTGGGGGTCACCTGTGCCGCCGACACCCCAGCCCCTGCCGGGCAGGCGGCACAAGCCCCTTAAACCCAGGTGGGACTCAAGATGGCACAGGTTACCAAGGTGATGAAAAGCCCGTGAGAGTCTGCAACGTGTGCCTTTACAGCGATGCCGGGTGCCTTCCCACAAGCGGCTGTCATCTTTAATCAGGCAGAACAAGGCTCGTTAGGAACACAGCCTCCAGGGGCACAGAGGGAGCTCTGCTCCTCACGGACCCCCAGGCAGAGGGGAGGGTTCTGAAGGCACCAAAGAGGAGGGCTGGGCTGGTGCCGCGGAGCAGTGGCCGGGCCTCTGGGTCCCCAGCTCCCTCCCCTCCCTGACAGAGGAGCAGGCAAGCCCTCTGCTCCCTTCTCCACGTGGGAAGCACAGAGGTGGGCCTCCCACAGCCCATTAGAAGCAGGCACACCCCTGCTCCTCCCAGTTACATCCACGGCCTCTTCCGGTCTCGGGAGAGCCCGTTTGGCCTCCACCTGCTTTCTGAGGCCTCCCCTGGGTTCCCCCCCAAACCCCCGGCTGCAGGGCCAGGCCTGGAGGGCACACATTTCCCGCCCCCCCCAGCCCAGGATGGCCAGCTCCCTGTGGCTGCTCCTTGCACATCCCTGGATTTGAAGCTAATTTATTCTCCTTTGCGAATGACCAGAACCGGATCCAGATCTTAAAAGATGTAATCACAGACCACGTGGACCAAATGAAATTTACTGAGAAGCTCATCGGAAACCTTTAGCAGGAAGCATGCAGCGGGGGTGGGTGGCGGTGGGGTGAAGGAACCCACACAGAGGGCTCTGCCACCCCAGGCCCGCCCAAGGAGATTTCACCCCAGCAAGAAGAGCCTGGCCGTGTCAGCAAAGACCCTCCCCAGA